ACGACCGTGGTCGTCGCTCCCTACGACGACCTCTGACGCAGCCTCAACAACGAGCTCTTCTCCTCCGCGAGCTTAGCCAGGTTCGCCGCCGTCAGGGAAGCGAAAATTCGCTCCTTGGTCGGGCGAATCACAAGGTGTGGTAGCAAGGGGGAAAGAAAACCATGGAGACCATTCTAACAGACTCGCTGCCTCTGTTGTTTCCCTCCGACAACGACAACCCTCGAGCGCAGTAAACCTATTTGCGCCTTGTGCAGAAGTGTAAGAGCCCGTCCATTTCACTTCGTCGTACCATTTCGTTCGAATTTCTCGACCAACGGTGGCGTTCCTGTGCCGAAAGACGACCAGGAGTAGGGGCCGCCGCAAGATGTAAGGAAGTGGTTAAGTACATACATGGGCCTATATAAGATCCAGCATAACCTTCTCTCAACAACTCGAGTTATTGGGATCAACTGGTTTATGACATAGTATCAGAGTGAAACTCGATCCCGATTTAGGGGTTTGAGCTTTCGCACATCCGTTTCTCTTCGCGGCAACATCGACGTCATCATTCCGACGTTTCTTCTATCCGGCAGTTAGCGAGAGTTATTAGCTGCAGTCTGCAGAAGGATCGTCGTTCAGCTGCATTCGTGTTCGTTCCAAACATGCCTGCTGATCTCTCTCCTGCACGGCGAAGCTTCTTCCTCTCGTAGGCATTGTCCGCCTCCAAAGTCTTGTTCGTTGGTCATTGGCCTCAAATCCAGCTTTGATCGCACCGTCAATCATATTCAAGTCCCTAACGAAACTGATCAATCAACCAGTCCATCATCGCTCGTCGAGCTTCTATCGTCGCAAGTCCATCATCGGCACTCCATCCCGGCTCATCCGTCTTCAGCTACGAGCTCATGCAAAGCTCACGACTCAGGGTTTGAACCTTTGGTTTCGTGGATTAATTGTTGTTTTACGGGAGTTTGCTCGCTCAAAGGATTACATCGTCATCTCCAAAGGCCCACGTTTCTGCAACTGAATCTAGTCACCACAAGCCGGCCTCCATCGTTCAGTCGTCTGATTCAGAGGTTCCAGAAAGGCATCGCGAAGTCGTCGCCATCGTCATCAGCGGCCTTGTGGTCTTCCTCCGCACCACCACAGTCACAGCCATCACCGTCTGCAGCACCATCGTCGTCCTCCGCGTCCCATCATCAGCTAGCAGTCAAAAGGCAGAGATGGAGAAGGGGGCATCGACAGATTCAATCTCCCAATGAAGCAGTGGAACAAATGGACTAGAGAAGGTATGGTGGGGAATATAGCTTCTGGTCGTCCGTAACGTTGGTCTCTTTGTCACGATTCTGTGTGTCTCCAGTTCAGCACGAGCAGATTTTTTCTCGTTCGTCAGACGCTCCAATTCCGGGTTCGTGTCTTGGTATTTATTCTCTTCTTAGAATATGGGATTCGTCCAATTGCTTTGTCAAGAATAAGTCTTTTCTTCTTTGCGGCAAAGTCATCTCATGTTTACACCATAAATTTTGTCTTGTACCACATTGGTGAGGCCATGCCGCCTCATAACCAAGACCAAACGACACAAAAACATGTCCATCTAAAATTTAGAGGCCATGTCATCTCAAGGAAGACCTCGATACGGTCAAAAATATTCTAAGTCTCGAGAAGGGCATGCCACTTCACGAAGAGGCCATGCCGCCCCATGACCAAGGCCTAATGACTGAAAAATAAACTAAGTCTGGAAGAGGTACATGCCACTTCAAGGAGAAGCACGTGCCGCCTCACGAGAAGGGGCATGGACGCGAGACAAGAGGCCCTAGGTATGATTGAAAAATGCTAAGTATGAGAAAGCCATGCCACCTCAAGAGAAGAGCCATGTGCACGATTGGGAGATCCATGGCCGTGTCACGAGAGGGGCCTTGGACGCAAGGCCGCGAATCACACTTCAAAGAAGACAAAGATATTCTAAGTGTGGAGAAGGACTTGTAGCTTTAACGAGGAGGGTCATGTCCCTCTAGAGATCGAGAAGGTCATGCCGTGTCACAAGAGGGGCCATGTGCACGATTGAGAGGTCCATGCCGCCTCATGAGAGGGGCCATGGACACAAATAAAAAGGGTGTGGTGATGGAGCATTATATCACTAGTGAATATGTCTCAAGAGGTCCATGACCGTAAGACAAGAAGGCCATGGACATGAGTAAGAAGTCCATGGCCGTGAGGCAAGAAGACCACGACCCCCTTTGCGAGACACCACATGCTCGTCAAAAGACTAGCATGGCACGAGATTCAGAACAAGACCAGACGAGGCAAGCTACACTCCAAAACCCACGGCGGTTCCAAGAGAGCCACCTAGGCGGTTGAAGGAGTAACCACCACTCCGAGAAAGCAGGGAGCGGTTCTTTTTTGGAGTTATCCAAGAGGCGGTTTTCTACCGAAGAAGGGGGAGTGTTTCTTTGTAGCAGTTATCCAACAAGCGGTTTTCTATGGAGGTTACCTCCTCGGGGCTATAAATAAGAGTAGGGGTCGACAGAGACAAAAGGTTCCAAAACCAACACTCTGACACACATGTCAAGTTTATCCTTTACCTTTTCTCTATCATGTAGCCATAGATGTAGTTCGTAGTTTGGAGCTCTCGCCGAACCTCCATAGGAGTAGAAGTAATTTAATTTAGATCTCGTTCCCAAAAACCATCAATCAAACACCCTCGTTCGAACTTTGTTTGAAGAGGTGTGAGCCGTGTCTTAGTAATCGTTGTCCAAAGAAGTCAAAGGTGCATTAATCTCATTTCAACGCAAGTTTTCTCACCGGAAAACATCTCCATAAGATTGTGTTGTTCGGTTGGATTGATGGGATATTGGAAAGGGGGAACAACTCACATCCACTTCAGCTTTTATCCTCAAGCATCACAAGTTGTCAATAGTGAAGTTCTTCACCGCTTCTATCATCAGCAACCTACTTTAGTCAAAGGTCCTGTCACCAGTTCAACCATCTGGGTAACGAGGCATTCACGGTCCATAAAATGGTCGCCCCCTGACGTTCAAAAAGTAGTACGATCAAAGAAGTAATCGTCCCTTCATCGTCCAGCTGACATTCACGATCCAAGATATGGTCGTCCCCTCTTCCGATTCATTATTGAGCATATATAAACCATTCATCACTTTTCAAGCCGGGAATTCACGATGTTCATGCTCCAGCTTGAGGGGGAGAATAGGAGGTCAACATATGTCGGTCGACTAACTCAATCATTAGCTTAGCTACGAGATTGTCGTAAGCAAGCCGTCACAATGTAGTCGTTCAATAAAATATCAGCAGTGAGCTCTTGCGAGCTCATCGTGGATTAGTCTCGATCAATCAATCGATCGAGGATACCACATAAAATCTTGTGCTCTGTGTTCTTTTTATATTGCGCATCATCAAATTCTTCACAAGAAGCCGTCTTGAAGGCTATCTCAGGTTTCCTTCTCTTTTCATGTTAAATGGCCGCTCGGGTTTTTGATAGTTTCTGTTATCCTTACGGTTTCCATGGATGGTTTGAGGTAAGCTGGTTTGTGCCAACATGAATGTTGATGTTGTTTGGCAGATTTATCAAAAACAGATGGGAGAGTGGGGCAAAGTACGAATGTGGTTATTGGAGGGACAATAGCCGATGATTCATCGGAAGAATGGCTTGATTTAGATAAAAGAAGGTATGAGAATCCACGAGGCGACTTTCAACGTCATGACGGATAGGGATGGAAAAAATATCTGCAACCATGGATATCCTCCTGAATCCGACCTAATCGGGTAGGGTAACATCCGAATCCGGAGAATTTTCAATTGGTACGGATAAAACCCAAACCCGAATATTGCGGGTAATGGGCGGGCATGGTTTTCTTACTGTCCAACGCGAACCCGCCCGAATATACACATGCATATGTATTTTGTTTATAAACGATCATTATTTTTCTCAACGTATCTTATATTTAGTATACAAATATAATATTTTCATGAAATTGTGTTGTTTGAAATTAATTTTCCACATTCTAGTGAATTGATGTCATACTTTTCCACTTATTTTGTGTGTGTACACGTGTGAATGTCATCATGTTGGTTGGAGGTATAAAGAGAAGTCATTACCCATGGATAACCGTGGATACCCGAAACTCGAATGGGTATGTGAATGGTTTTGATTTTCTACCCGATTCTTATGTGGGTATGGGTAAAGCACGAACTACTTTGGGTAGGGTAACGAATATGCACTATCCTCCCCCGACCCAACCCATTGCCATCACTAGAAGCGGTACTACGACGGGGAGGTGACGGCGACGTTGAGATGTTCCAGGAAGTGATGAGGGATGTGATTCACGTGTCCTGGACGGGTAGCCGCTCCCAACGTCGATGGAGAATGAGAAACGAGTGGCGAAATCAGAAAGTTTCCCGGTGGTGGAACTCCAGAGCAAGATGTCTTGGGCGTCGGTAGAGTGATTTTTCTAGGGACAGGTGATCGGATGGGGAAGGTATTTTTTGGTTTTATTTATTTTAGATTTTTATTTTAATGATGTGAAAATATTAAGAATTTAATTTAAATTTTTAATTGTCACGTTAGACATTTAACGGTCAACTGTTAGTGTTGACTACCACATCAAATAAAGTTAACGGAGAGTGACTAAACACGAACCGTTTTACTAATTCAAGTGACCAAAATTGATATTAATTTGTTGCAGTGACTACACATGTTTGATCAAATCCAATGAACAAACTTGGCATATGAGGACTTTGATTTGTTTTTAGGGTAAATACAACTTAATATCCAAAACCTTCGTTTGAAAAATATAATATCAAAACCTTTTCGAAAACAAATTAATAGCCAATCCGTCAACTTTCCGTCCGTTTGATCGTTAGTTGACTCTGACATGTCAAAAATTAAATGAGTCGGATGTTATTTTGCTGATGTATCATGCCACATGGATATTTCTTTTATTTTCTCTTAATTTTTTATTTATATAATCAGAAAAAAATAGAAAAGGGTAAAACAAAAGGGTAAAACCTTATCCATTCTCCATTCTCTCTCTATTCTAACCTTTCACCCGATCTACTTTCCCTCCTCCTCTATCAAATCCATCTGCGTCAAAGCCCTACCCTTCGCCACCTCAGAGTCGTCGCTCCCATCCTCATGTGAGCACCGAAGATCTCTAGTGTTGCCCCGGTCGTCCGATTCCAGGCCAGAGCTGTTGCGAAGGCGACGACGCAGCCGAGGCGGGGAAACGACGAAGCTGTGGTGAAGCGGACGACTGAGCGAGGTAAGGTTCTTCTGATTCTGCTGTTTTCTGATTTCCTTTCTCCCCATTTGATTGAAGGTTGTCTGTTTTATAGTGGTAAGTGGGTCGATTGAAGGAATCCAGCAACTTGGTTGTGAGGACCACAGGGGACCACATAAGAAATTGTCACGAAACTGCCCTTCCATTACAAGGTAAGATAACTGAAGTATTGGGTTAAATCGACATTGCACTGTGAATCAGACAAGGTGTCGAGTTAGGAGAATTTGTCACATACAGCTTTGTGTTTCTTGTTTTGGCATTGCAAATGATTCAATATTTAGATGTTCTATACCATCATGGTGGATTCATGGACTTCTCAGGTTTGGAACCACGATATGTTGGTGGTTTTTCAGAGAAGATATCGATGGATATTGATGAAGTCTCGTATTTTGAACTTCTGAATGTGGCAACAGGTTACTTGAAGTATGTTGGAGTACGAAAAAAGGACTTGTCCTAATGCTGAGGGATTTCCTATTTATTGTTGATTTCTAGGGACTTGTTGAGGCAATGCATGATGTTATGTCGAGTGTTGAGCATAGAAAGTGCTCCCGCCATGTCAATGCGAATTGGAAGGCAAAAAAACAAGAATGATAGAATGCAGGTGCTATTCTGGAATGCGGTATATGCATGTAATGAGGCTGATTTTAAAGCAATCACCTCTTAAATGGAAAGCTATGAAAAGGATCCAGGTACATCTGAAAAGCCATATAAGGACTTCATGGACCAAGACCCAACAACCTTCTGCCGTGCTTTTATCTCCAGAGTCCCAAAATCATACTCTGTTGAAAGTAACATATGTGAGAGTTGGAACAATGTCATTTTAAAGCATCACGAGCAGAGAATTATTGCAATGATGGAAGGTATTAGAGGTTATATGATGGTTCGAATGAGGAAGAAGCAGCGACAGTATGAGAAGCTGCGGACCTTGTTTTGTCCACAGGCAAGATCCATCTTAGCCGAGGAGGATGTGAAGGCAAGAAAATGCTAGGCACGTGCTAGCTCGAATGACAAGGTTGAGGTCCATATTGGGGCAGCATCTTATGTAGTTGATTTGGAAGGCATTACTTGTTCTTGTGGGGCTTGGCAGCTATCCGGAATACCTTGCTGCCACGCACAATCAGCTCTGGCCTTGATGAGACTTAACGTTGAAGATTTTGTGAATGAGTGCTACCTTGTTTATACGGCTAGAAAGGTGTATGCATCTGGACTGCCATGTATGGAAGGCCACAAACTTGGCCTAATGCTGAGGGATTTCCTATTTACCCTCCGGTTCAAAGGGCAATGCCAGGGAGGCCTAAGAAAAAAAGGAGAAAAGAAGCTGCTGAACTCGATCCTCGAATACATATGAATGGTTTGGGTGTGTCTATTGTGAGAGAAGGAATAGTGATGCATTGCTCCAAGTTTCGAGGAACGGGACATAATGCAAGAAAGTGTCCAAACCCAGCCTTTATCCCGACTGAACCAGTTTTGGAAAATGCTACTCGTGGTAGGGGAACACGAGGGAGAGGCAGGGGGCAGCAAGGTGGGAGGAATCAAAGAGGGAGAGGCAACCCAATGAACTCCCAAGTGGATGCAAACAGACCAAAGGTAAGTTTTTAATTTCCTACTCATTGTTTTAAACTATATATTAGATCGACATTACCTAATATACTACATTCCACAGAGGGCGATCCATTGTTCTAAATGTAAGCAGCCGGGACATAATGCTAGAAAGTGTCCACTGAACCAGGGGATTCAAGTAAGTTCATTTTAGCTTAGCACAATCTCTTTGCATGACTATATATTCTTGTGAAAAATATGAGATTGGTTTTGGTTGTCTAGCATGCCAGAATTGAGGTTTGGGATCAAAACCTAGTTGCCAGAGAAGTCATAACTGCTTTAGGTGGCATTGGTATATATACAAATCCTGACATAGGGAACCAGTATGTCCATGTATGTGAATGTGGCTTCGATTAGTCTTGTTGTTCCATTATTCTATCTAAACTGTAACTAGTTGGTATAGCAAGTGATAATATTTGTTGTCCAATTTCAGTTCCCGAGGGTGGAGAATCGTGGCATTGGTACTTCTGCAGACCTTGTCGGTACCCAACCAACTGAGATTTACGCGACACAGGGACCAACAACTCAGCCTCAGATGGATTGACTGTGATGCAGTAGACGTTTATTAGTATAGCAATAGCCAACTTAGACTTATTAGTTGTAGATTGCACTTTTCTGCTTCTTGATGTGAATGTGAAGCAGCAAAGATGAAGTTGAGCTTGTGGTGAAGGGAGCCAATGTAGTTTGATTGGCCTTTTCTACCTACTTTTGCATTTTGTACAAGTTCACTTCATAGTTAGACCAGCATCGTTCTGCTTCTTAATCTAAATGTTAAGCAGACATACAAGATGAGGATATTTTGCACACTTGACAAATATGTTAATGTAAAGATGGTATGCAGAATTGACAGTGGCAAGTTTAAAACAAGCGTAACTTTGTTGCAAATTCAAACAGGATCTCAGTTTTGATACATAGTCACACTTCTTCACCACTAAACAGTAATTACTCACTGAAACCATGAAATTACAACACAAGCCATAACAACTACAAAACAGAACATCACATTCTTAATCCTGCTATCAAGAACAGCAAACACATTGAGCAAGTTTCTCAGCTCGGTTTCCATTCTTGCGTGATCCTCCTTAGTACTGATCAACTCTTCTAATAGCAAATTTTTAGCATTTCTCCTTCTTTCTGCCTCCATTCTAGCAACCCTACAGCTCTCATCCATTTCGATTAGTTTGTTCTTCAACTCATCTTCTGATTCCTTCCAAACTTTGGGCTTGTACTCATCAACCCACACGAAGAACTTGCACTTTGCATTCGAATCCTACAAAAAGAGAGTTGAGGAGATGTGTACAAGAGATAACTCGATAGCCCACAATCTAACCAAATACCCTACCTTCCAGTATCGGCAACAGTAGAACTTTCTTCCCGGGTTCTTATCGGTACCAGAAACTTGTAAAGTACATGGACAATCTTGGCATATGGGTCTTGAATCGTGATACGTGTTGGCCGAAGATGAAGAACTGTCCCTCGCAGACATGGTCCCGATGTACTTCGCCAAAGATGTTGTCTTCTTCGCCAAAGCTACGTTGTCTACTTCGCCAAAGATCCGGCCTGGGATAACACGATCAGACCACGCTCGCCATGACGAGGGAAGAAGGCGGCGTTCGCGCTGGTCACGAGAGGGGACGAGGCTGGGTTTCGCGGTGACTGGACTGGATCTAGGTCTGTGGTGGTCAACGGGGATGGGGACAGGGCTGGGTTTCGCCAACAAAGGGAGGTTTCGAAAGAGGGAGAGCATAGGAAACTTTCCTTCTCCCCTTTTAATTTAATTTAAAATTTAATTCAAATCCCTAATTTTTATTAGTTGCCACATCAGCTAAATTCAATGTACGTGTACAATAACTTACCACGTCAAAGTCAACTAACGGTCAAACGGACGGAAAGTTGACGGATTGCCTATTAATTTGTTTTCGAAAAGGTTTGGATATTATATTGTTTAAAACGAAAAGTTTGGTGACGGATTGCCTATTAATTTGTTTTCGCAAAGGTTTAGATATTATATTGTTTAAAACGAAAAGTTTAGATATTAAGTTTAATTGACCAATGTTTTTATTAGAATTTTATCACCTCATCACCAAGGTTTTTTAAAAGTGGAATAAAACCTACAAGCTCAATGAATTTGTTACCCAAGTAGAAATTGCAGGCAGTGGCACGGCCTAATCCGCGAGCGGAACGGATTATGAGAGTTATTTTGGGCAATCCAAGGGCTATTTCATAGTACACCACAACAACTGGTGGAATGCGTTGGAACAGGACGAAACCGAAATCTCAAAGAATCTGAAGTTTTACAAACCAGGAAACCCAGACACTTTCTCAGTTCAATTCTGGTGCAAAAGAACAACTGCCGGAAGAGTGGAAGACGAAAACCCAGATTCAAGCACTGGTCTGCACTCTCTTCTTCGAATTATTCTTCGGTCTTATCTTCACGAAAGCTTTCGCTAGATCCTGAAAGCAGCAAAGAGCGAAGAATCCATAAGTTTCTTGATTATCTACATTCGAAAAGGGTCTAAGCCGAAAGTAACCATAATATATTGCAAACTTCAGGAGATCTAAATCCTAAAGCCCTTTACTGCATTTGCTTATCTTTTGACCTGGCTAAACTGCTAAACTCAGGAAAACTAATTCTAAAACAGTAAAACCTTTCACAGGGAGGCAGAGAGAGCTCCCCTCAAGGCGTCAATAGTGTATTTGAAGAAGAAATCACTGGTTGCAGAAAAAGATAAAAGTTGTTGGCAAGTACTGCTTCCCTAAAACATATTAAAGATGAACAATGCATTCATCTCCCATGAAGACCGCAAACTACTACACAGATCACAAGAATCAGAATAATGCATAAGAGAAATGCCAGCCATCCATGAAGTCATGAAAATATCTCTAGTCTTTGAAGATATTCAGGATCTCCTGATTGAAAGTTGAAACCATGAAACATATTTAGGATCTCCTGATTGAAAGTTGAAACCATGACCGAATGCCAAATTGTTCATGAATCTGACGGCAGTACCTGAGAGGGCTCCTTGTGAGATGGGTCTGAATTCCAGAGGTTCTCCAACTTGTAGTAAGCTCTAGCATTCTCATCAAGAGCATGAACAATCACCCTACCTAAAGAAAGCAAAGAAAAAGGAAACATACAAAAGAAAGTTGCAGAGTAAGTATGAAGCTCCTAATGCATTGCTATTATAGTTCAAGTTCCAATTCAGGTACACAATCAATTCATTTCCCAGAACAATGAACCCTAAAAATGGAGACAATTACCCGAATCAACAACGATCCACTTCCCTTCTTCTTGCCCTTCCACGCTTGGAAGCATCATCCTCTCAACTCCCTTCTGCTTCTGCTTCACCTGCTCAATCCAGAATCCCAAATCAATCACATAACCATACAAAAAAAAATGAAAAAACTCCCCCCAATCCCGCCATCGCTGGAGAACTCCTGCAATTAGGGTTTCCTGCCAAAAGGAATTTGACGAACCTTGCCTTGTAAATGAGGGCTTCGGCGATGTTCTTGACGTGCCATGTGGACCTTCCGGTGGCGATCACCATGTAATCGACCCAATCGCAGCGCTTCCCGACCGGTATCACCTTCACGTCGTCGGCTCGCACGTCGGTGAGGATTTTCTCCACCTCACCGAGCTCCAGCAAGCTTCTCCTATCGCCTCCGCCGTCGTTGCTTCCCGCCGCAATTGACGAAGAGCAGAGACCGCGTTGGGAGGCTGGTAAAACTCGCTGCCATGACCGGCGGAGGAGAGATGATGATCTCGATGACCGCAGTGCCGCCGTCAACATTTAGAACCGTGGAACCAGTTTTTGTTTTTGTTTTCCAGGCGGCGCTCTCGACGTTTTTCTTTCACAAGACGGAACGGAGGCTACTGTAGGAGTATCTGGGCCTGGGCCTTTTCATGGGCCTGGGCCTTTTTGGCATGGACTGGAATCCTGAAGCCACTGAGTAGGATTGTCCGAGTATAGGACATTATTCACCAAAGCATATCCTAAACGACATGGAATCGATCAAAACTGCGCGGATTAATCGGTTAATTGCATTCAAAATAGAAATTGTCCCACGGGCGTTTTGCAGAGAAGGGCACAGCAGGTACGCAAAGGAAGGGGAACCCATGGGCCTCACGTGCAAAGCCCAAAAAAGGGAATAGAGAACATGGGCGAGGCCCCACTCAAAAAGCTTAAAAAAAGGGGAGGATTGCTTGTGACATAGAAACGTGAGACTGTAAGTCTGTAATTGACCGTAGTGGGCTAGTGGCTATAGTGCTTTGCCAATCATTTGTTGAGGCTTTTCAGTTCTAATCCCTATTCATTTTTATCTCCAACTCCTTTCTAGACTCTACATTTTTTTAGCCTTTATTTGTTATCGGGCACCCCCAATATTCAAGCTAATAGATTCGATCCGGTGTTGCCGAGTTTTAGGTCGAGAATAAATTTAACCCGTTTTTATAATTAACGCATTGGGTCAGATGTGGCTTTTGTTAAAAATAGTGTTCAACCTAATTCGATCCGGTCCGGTGTTACCAGGAACGAATTTTATCAACTTTAAACAACAAACAATGGTTCAACATGTGTACTCGGGTAGTGAATAAGTGAACCCCGAGAATGAGCAATAGAAACAAGATAGTTTGTCATCTCACCGCATTGCCTTCTTTGTAACTTGTTATATTATCATCTGTCAATCAAACTGCAACAAGGAGTTTCAATTCCTTAAATCATGTGATTAAGATGGATAACTGTAGCCGATTCGAACAGCGTTCAAATGGCTGCTCAAAAATCAGTTTGGAGGACAGCCTTTCGAATTCTCAAAGTCCCATGCACACTTTCAAGTTTGAATCATGGCCGATTACTACCAACTCCCAATTGCTATGGTAGCATTTATAAACTAACTCAATTTGCAGTTGTGAAAACGAAGAGGAGAATGCAATGTCAATATGAAGTGTAGAGCTCAACAAGAACCGATAAAATAATCACTATATAAATAATAAAATAAGCATGTCTTTCTTGATATTGACCTCATAACCAATATCCTTCAAATTGTGATTTAGATTTGGATGAACGAGGACAGCATCACATTTTTTATTCTATTGGCAATTTTGTTGTAGACGACAGTATAGAAATATTGAATAATCAATATTGGTCGATAAAAATTATAAGAAAAATTGAATATCTAATTTGTTAGGAAGCACTTGAATTATCAGGACATGTTGAAATAAAAAAATATCATATCAACAAAAAATTTGAGTTATTAAGAGACGTTCAAGTATTGAATATCAAATCGACCTTCTTCAACATCAAAATAAATTAAACAACAAGAGGCATACTCATACTCTACAGTCTTTTTCCTAAAAAAATGTTGGATTTTTTCGTTAAAGTGGTTCGAACTCTTAATCTCTTACACAAATGCAAAAGTACAATTAATAGTAATCAGGTTTCAGGAAAAATTGAACACACTGCCTTTTAAAAACTGTACGGTACTACATCAAAAACTATTTCATCATGGTTACTTATATTGTAAACAAGAGAATCGAGTGTAACTTATGTCATTCTCTTACACGCCTCTACTACATATATACACGAACACGAACACGAACGAAACGGGAAATTTGTTGTTAGATGTTGAGGCATCATATGCATACCTACAAAATAATTACTGAAAATACAAAGATTGAAATGTTTGAATGGGCTATCTCCATGAATGTGATTGCTATGTAGTTATTTTAGTTTTTAAGGTGAGATGCTTGTTGAAGGAAAGGGAACCTTCTTCTTCAAAACGAAGATTAAAGTGGGGAATGGAGGTTTGCTGTCGATGACGACACTTCGGATGTTTTGATTAAGTTTTGACATATGTGCTGCAACCTACCCAACTAAAACGACATGATTCCTAATACATCCAAGTTTCCATTAGTGGCGTTTTTGCCGTAATAACGTTGTTATCATGTTAGGAGAAGGAGAGCAACCAATTTCCTTTCTTATCAACGAATTCTTAATCTCCAAAACAAAATACATTGGAGAAGGTCCACCTTAAAGTTACGGTAGATCCAATGGACTACCATGGTTGATATGACTGATTAGGGCGAGGGATTGGAGGGTTGGATCTTATGAATTGGTTGAGAATGAAATTTGGAGATCACAGCGAATTTATGTTTTATCTTAGAGTTTGATAAATTTTTATTTGTTGAATTTGAAACTTCTCATAAGAAACGAGTTTTCTAGTAAGGTATATAATATGAATACCTTTATGCTTTGCAAAAATATAAGATGTCATTTTTGGATTCCATTTTCCAGTAACATGACCAAAATGAACTCTCGGTTCAAGTATCTCTTATAATTTAGTGTTCCAATATCCTTATCAACAATTCGTTACAAGGAACTCAAAACTAAAAAAATCATTACGTGTGAGAAGAAATCTAAATGAAATCCTTGGTCAAAGTGCACCAAAATGTTTATAATTTCAACACGTAAATGACAAGTTTGGTCACTAGAATGACTAAATTAGTAAATTGTTTCACACGTGCCACTACACATATTATAATCCATTTGTAGCCATTAAGATTAGTTTAGTAGTCCTAGTTTGGTCACTGGTCGTTACCATCTGTTAGTCTCCGTTAACGACATCAACTTTTTTGCTAATGTGACAAAAAAACGCTTAGTCACCCCATTTTAGTCTAGAAAAGTTTATACCGACCCGACCCGACCCGACATATAAACCCAACCCTTCCCCGATGACTCGACCATGCTCTACCAACTTCCATTGCTCCAAATTAAAACCTCACCTCCTCGACCTCCTCTTAGAAATATGAAGATCCAAACGAATGAAAACATTTGTCATTGATGTTGCACTTCCGATGTCGATGAGCCCGAATTCTCTTTATACTACTACTACCTTCCCCCAGTTGCACTTGCCGCCTAGCTCTCTATATTACCCTATACTTAACAAGTGCTCCACGATGAGTTTGAAGGGTATTTACTCGCCATGTTAAAATAGATTGACTACCTGTTTCTGTTATTTACGCTAGCAAAAAACTGACGCCGTTAACAAAGGCTGACGAAAGATAACGACTAGTGATCAAAATAGTACCACTAAACTAATCTTAACAGCAATGAACAAAATCAAATATTTTGGGTAATGTCTATTTTTTATCCAAACCTTTTTCAGATTCTTTTATATTATCCAAACCTATTAAAATGCTATTAATTAACCAAATGTTTCGTAATGCATCAAAATATTAGTCATTTTCACGTTATCGTTAATAATTCACGTGTCTCTTTCAAGTAAGTATCATGTTGCCAAGTCAATATTACTAACAAAATGGCTAACTGGAAGTTAACATTTGACTAATTCTTAGGATTTCGATAGGTTTAGCTAATAAAAAAAAATTCGAAAAAGATTTAGCTAATAAATAGTAATTACCCAAATATTTTTAAATATTTTTAAACGTAAGACATTTTAATAATTTCACCAACTAAACTCGCAATTGAGTAAATATTTTTAAACTAAGACAATTTAGCAATTTCACCAACTAAACTCGCAATCTATCCTAATTTCAATATATGCATTACTCTTATGATGACACTTTCTTGTACTAATGTACTTACACTCTTGATTACAATACATGAATGAAAATTGTCCGTTGATTCTATGGCGGAAAAGGGCAACAATCAGATAGAAAAGTGTGGGAAAAGCGAAAAAAGGATAGAAAGAAAGAAGAGGAGCAGCTAAAACTAAAATGAAATGGTTTGCGGTTGGTTACTACGCTATCATTCACTTTCTCGGAGGAGAGAGAAGGCGAGAAAATTCCATGCTTCCTCAACTCTGTTTGTTTGTCTTCTTCCTTACCCTTCCAAAAAAATCCTCCCGATCTGTGCAGTCTCTCTTCCCAACTCACCCCTCTGCCAAATTAAATGCTCTGTAGATCCAAGTAACAGTCTCGCTTCTGCTACTACTACTTCCTCGCTGGTCGTGATTCCGCATTTGGGCTCCTTCGCCTTATCTCTTCATTTCCCACCTTCAAGATCGCTGTTTTTCGACCAGCTCTCCCTCTCTTCCGTCCGTTGAAGGGATTTTGACTCCTTTGGCAACTTGGGTTCAACCTTCTGTCAAATGTGCTTGTGGGAGCGCCGGCTTTCTGCTTTCCCGGAGTTTCAGAGGTCGTTTTAGCAGTTGAAGTGAAGCTTGAGTTGAATTTTGGTTGTTACTGTGGCTGTGGAGAGTGCCTGTTGTTAGAGATCAACTACGCGCTCTCATGGTAGTTTAGGGTTTCGTGGGTTGTTTCACGCGGGAGGAAAAAGTTGGAGACTTGCAGAGGGTCATCTATTTTGCTGCATCTGAATGGTACAGTTTACTTGATTGGGTGGATTGTCGTCTCTTCCACTGCTCGTTTCCGAAGGCTTCAATGCCGAGGGAGATTTTGGCGGCGGGAAGTGAGAATGAGCAGTTAATGAGTTAATGGAGGAATGATTATGGTAATTTGAGTTCTTCGAGCTCTGCGGAGGCGGAATTAGGTTTTCTAAGTTAATTTCTTATGAGAATTTGGAGTGAACTGTTTCTTTAGAAAAGGTTTAAGGTTTTTGGCAAATAGAGAGAGAGAGAGAGATGCCGCCATCTCCAGCTTTGAGATTCTCTCCTGGGAGAGAGCTAAAAGCTGCTGATAACCACAAGCGAGGCCGGAGTCTTGAAGGTGGGATTCTGTTCAAGGAGAGAGATGATGATCTTGCTTTGTTTAATGAGATGCAGAGCAGGGAAAAGGAGGATTTTTTGCTCCAGTCGACTGATGATTTCGAAGACTCATTTTGTAAATGCTTCTATACCATTCTCCTCCTGCTTTTTATTGTGGATGGTTAATTGTGGAATCAATAATGTTGTAAGCATCTAGTGGCTGGTGATGGTTCTGAATGACTTGCCTTTTGAATGTATACAGCAACGAAGTTGAGATACTTCTCGGATTTGAAACTGGGGATATCCGCTCCTGGGCGTGGGGAGAGTAGCGAGCTGATGAATGCAGAAGGGGATAAGAATGACTATGAGTGGTGGGTTTACTGTTTCCTTGTTTTCATCGTGACCATTTTATTGTGTATCTGATTTCTGAACTTTATTCTGCTCTCTGGGGTTCCCAAATGGTTGGAGAAAGCAATGTCTTAGCTGTACTTATATATTCGTGCTATCTCCGGATAGATGATGCCATTCCCTGCACATTAGAGCTTTCCATTTGTTCATATGATCTGCACAGATTGGTTGTTCCCAGTTGGTTAAGTTATTGAAAGTAAATTGCTTTTTGTCGTTTTTGGTCACACGTCCAGTAATGCGATTGATCTCACTTTGAGTTGTTTTTCAGGTTATTAACTCCTCCAGACACTCCTCTGTTTCCTTCACTGGATGATGAGCCACTACCATCAAATGTTCCGTCCAGGGGCAGACCTCGAAGTCAACCTATTTCCATATCAAGATCATCCACGGTATACATGCTTATGTGTGCACATATCCACTGTTTGGTTTGTATCATATTAGTTCCTTCAACTGAAAGTTCAAGTCTATATGCAGATGGAAAAGAGTAACAGAAGCAGCAGGGGCAGTGCTAGTCCAAATCGTTCAAGTCCATCGCCTCGCTCTGGTAGTAATACAATTCAGTCAAGGGGAAGGCCATCTTCTGCACGTAACTCTAGTCCAACTCCTAGTCAACGACCAGCCACCCCATCACGTAGGCCATCTACTCCTCCACCAAATAAAGCCTCACCACCTGCCCCAAGGTCTTCTACACCAACTCCAAGGAGGGCGAGCACAGGGTCAGTGACAAGAGGAGTTTCTCCTATACGGAACACTGCAATGGGGAATTCTGTTTCTCCTAAAGTAAGGGCTTGGCAGTCAAATATACCTGGTTTCTCCTCTGAAGCACCACCTAATCTTCGTACTTCTCTGGGTGATCGACCCGTATCATACGTGAGGGGCTCCTCACCAGCATCTAGGAATGGAAGAGACTCAAGCTCAAGAGTTGGCAGGCAATCGATGTCTCCAACTGCTTCTAGAAGTGTCAGTTCTTCACACAGTCAAGAACGAGATAGAATTAGTTCATATAGTAAAGGTTCTGTTGCCTCATCTGGCGATGATGATGTGGAGTCTTTGCAATCCCTTCATGTGGGCAGCTTAGATCGACTAGCATCCAGAAGGGTTGGTGGGGTTTCGAGCAGCAAAGTGTCTGCAGCATTGCCAAAGAAGCCAGCTAGAACCTTCTCCCCGAGTTCTGCCCCAAAACGGTCCTTTGACTCTGCTATTCGTCAAAAGGTATCTCTCATTCTTCTCTAATTGAACTATTCATTATTGTCAGACTGTCAGAGAGGGCCTCCATTTCTTTCTGCTCTTCAGTTCTTTCATGCATAGTTATGTAAAAGTTTGCGACCTCTAACAGTAATTTGGGTATAATTTCAAGTTAGGTAACTTGTATAAATCTAAACCGTTAATATCGATCAAACTTATTTTAAACCATTGATTAAAGAAATAAAACATAAAAAAATAAGTAAAAAAATCAATGGCAACATGGGTTGCCGGTCACCACCAAGGCAGGTTACCTTTCTTGTTCTTTTTCTTTCCTTTCTCACATTTATTTGTTTTACCTTATTTTATCCTTTCTTATTTTAATTCTTATTGAAGAAGAAGTGTTACATTACGTAAAGAGACTTTCCATTACGTAAAGTTTACGGAACAATAGTTATTTCTTACGTAACAATGAAATCGGAAGTGTTACGTAAAGCTTCCATAATGACTTACCTCTTTACGCAACACAACATTAATACTCATTACGTAAAGAGACCTTCCATTACGTAAGGCTTCCGTAATGACATTTTACAACTGTTACGTAAAATACACATTCAATACGTAAAGGTTACGAAACAATAGTTATTTCTTACGTAACAATTAAATCGGAAGTGTTACGTAAGACTTCCGTAATGACTTGACACTTTACGTAGCACGAGGTTAATACTCATTACGTAAAAAGACCTTCCATTACGTAAAGGTTACGGAACGACAATTATTTCTTACGTAAAAGTTAAATCAGTAGGTAGGCTTCCGTAATAACATTTTACGTAACGCGAGGTTAATGCTTATTACGTAAAGCCACATTTTATTACGTAAGGCTTCCGTAATGATCTTTTACAACTGTTACGTAAAAATACCTTATGTTACGTAACCATTACGTAATACCTATTGTATTTTACGTAATGCAACATGTGAAACCTGCTATAGCAGGTAAAAAAATTCAAGTTACCTTACTTCAAGTTACTGTAGGAAATCCCTAAAAGTTTTGAGTAGGTTAAGTTGTTCTTCTCTATGGTACTTGACAGACTTGGCATAGAACTTTATACAATCTGCATATGTATCATTATAACTGGGTCGTTGACTGTAATCCTATGCATAGCTCATTCACTAGATAGTAACCATAATTCTTCTCAGCACCAGAAGTTATGTCTCTCAAAACCTATTGACTATATGCTTTGTGTACAATGTTAAAATTATCTGCTCTTTAACAAGGATGGCAGATAACAACCTTTTTGGATCTTTGCCATGTATTGATTTCTTCATTGTCGATCTTGGCCTTGTTAGATGGAAGGTGGCCGGTACTTGGTTAGTTTTCCACCTTTGTCGTTGTTGTCTCTCGTGGTTGCTCTACGAGATGCAGTTAGCTTTTCTTAACCTTTAAAGGTAAAAGCAGAATGAAGAGGAAATCAGTTGCGATAAAAAGTTGGAGTAGGAATTTTATCCCGGGATGAGTTGTTTCATAGGTTTTACATCCGTCCATGGTGTTCAGTTAGTTGGTAAAAGGAATTAAACTGTTAAGAAAAAAAAAACATATTAGCAGGAATAGTGTGGCCTTTGTCAACTGTCATGGGCGATCAGTTCACAGAACAATTCATTCGTTTTGGGAAGTCCATGGTGTCTTTTGCCATTTCTAAATGATTAGGGTGACTATTGGAGCCTAAAGTGCTTGGTTTTGTTCTCTTTTCTGATGGGTCTTTCTGCTTTTTCTCTTCCTCGTGTTTTTGAAGGATCATTGGAAGAGTCCACCGAATATGTTTAGGCCTCTTCTGTCAAGTGTCCCGAGCACCACTTTCTATACTGGAAAAGGAAGTACTGCACAATGTTCATTGGTGTCTAGGACTTCTTCAGTTACTACCAGTAGTAATGCAAGCTCCGATCATGGAGTTGGTGCTGCACATGACACTGAACGAAGTGACCACCATCATGATGATGTGGTGGTTGAAAGTAGGAAAGAGCTATATCCGGCTGTTCAGGAAGATATATTTGCCTTTGATAGGGCAGATGACCTAAATAAAGATGTTGGCCATGACATACAAGATGGTGTTCCTCAATCTCAGCTTCATGATCTTGATAGAGATTTTACAATTAGAAGTGAACATGGGGACTTTGAAGAATTCAGGTGCCAAGATGTTGATATGGAAGTCGGTTCTCCATTGGATACTTCACGTGCTCGGGGTGATTTCTCAGAAGTCGACAGTTTGAATAGCCTCGTATACCTGAAGATTTGTTCTAGGTGTGGTTGCAAATACAATGATGTTGAAGCATTGGAAGCCGACATCAATCTTTGTCTAGATTGCAGTAAACAAGACACCGTAATAACTGCTGAGAACCCTCTGGTACTGTCCATTAGTAAAGGCGAAGAAGGGAACCAACAGATGGATGAGTCAGCGCTAGATACTGCTGTAATGGAGTTGCAGTCCCTAACTGACAATGTGAGTTTTGTTGGTGATACTGTCCTGCATGAAGTCTTAGGCAAGCAAGTCGATAATTCAAGCCATGAGCAGAGCCTTATGGATCCACAAGTAGAAGGTTTTGTTGCTATGTTGGCAGAAGAGGGAGATAAGCACAAGATGGCCAGCAAACGAGTAACTAAAGAACCAACTCTTGGCCGCAGCGTCTCCGATATCGTCACTGGAAGTCAGCAATTGTCCAACTGCAACGCATTGCATACCTTGAAAGTTGATCTTGTCGAAGGTGCTGGCATTTCTGTTGTACTAAAAAAATCCAGCAGTAGCAAAGGGCCTGTTTTCCAAGGCAGGAGTTTCACAGCATCTACCCTTAGTTATGACGACGTGTCTTTCACGAGAGATAGTGCAAACAGTTTGAGAAGCTCCTTCGGCCATGCTAGCACATCTGGATCATCTTCTCTCGATCTCTCCTCGTCAGCCAGGCAAATGGAAACCACTCGGGTCCAACGGCAATTGAGTGGAAAGAAATATGATCTTGAAAGTACCAGACCTCAAAGTAGCGGGTCATCTTTTTCCGGGTCTCTTAATAATGTTGCACACCAAGCTTCATTCCCTCTGACGAGTACGCTTGAAGATAGTGTTTCAGGTTCTCAAAATAACGAAGTGGAAGTTACCAATACGTCTTCTACCAATGGCCAGCCGGTTTCTGAGGAATATTTATGCGAGAGAACAGACAGTAGTAGAACCATGGATGCTTCCACATTACAGTTAGAAGAGCATTCTGAATTATCCCCAGCTTCGAAGAGTGTCCCGTTGCATGAAAATGACGCAGAGTATCAAGACCATGCCAAAAATCTCTCAGATACAGATGCATCGTCCCCCTTGGAATCCTCAGTTGAAGCAGAAAATAGCATCACCAACACGAGTGTCGATCATAATCATACTCCCGAGATTCCCAGTCACAGTAGACTGGCATCAATATCAGAGATTGAAAGTGAGGATCACCTTCAAAGTCCTCCAAGCTCAGTAAGAAATGATCTTTCTGCAAACTTGAGAGGGATGTCAGACGAATTCGAGGATCCTTCACTTTCTGCAACATCCGATAAAGATGCTACTGCTTCCGTCCTGCAAACCAGCACCTCAGATCATGAACGCCGTTTTCTAGGTATGTGTTTACTCTCCTCTTCCAAGTTTGCGTTACGTTGATATATGAAGGGTTAATTACATTTGTAGTCCCTGTATTATGCCTTCTTGACAAACACGTGCATGCACTATTATTTTAAACAAATTCATCCCTGTGCTTTCGTTTATCGACTTTTTGTCTATTGAACGTTCATGTTTGCCTCTCAATCAACTCTTAAATCTAACTGTCTTGTCTTGATTTTTTAACATGCATCTGTCATGTGGGACTTAACGGGGCGGAGATTTTGATTAGATTTCCATCATACATGGCTTATGACATGTGAATTTGTTTTAGTTCACAGTACAAGGACATGTTTTTGTTAAAAACAACATAGTACGTGGACCACAAATGTCATTAACCCATTTATAATGAACATTTATGATAATGTCTCTTCAGTTATGGTTAGGGCACACACCTACAGTTATGGTTAGGGCGTGCACCAATTTGGTTCATATTGGACTGATTTAATTTGGTTTCGATTCTATGGATCCTCTAGAAAAACGAATTGGACAAGATCGAATCTAAACGAGATTGCTTCTGATTCGATTTTAGTCATCATTCCCCCCCTTGTTTATTATATAGTGAAGATTCGGTCTGGTTCTGGATGATGTTGGATCATGCACACACCTCCAGTTACCTCCAGTTATGGCAGCACCTGTTGTATTTCCTTATTGCACATCTATTTTTTATGAGTTTGCAAGTTGTGCTCTTCAGAACGAGCATCGATTCTTCCGACATTTTAACAAGTGTCTTTTTTGCCAGACGAGTCCACTGTGATGGTGGAATGCCATGGAGGGAACAAGGTGGGAAGAAGCCTAACCCTCGAAGAAGCTACCGACACCATACTCTTCTGTAGCTCAATTGTCCACGACCTGGCTTACAAAGCTGCAACAATAGCCATTGAAAAGGAACTCTCAGTCCCATTGAGCGATTCACGGCCAACAGTCACCATCTTGGGGAAATCCATTCCTGATAGAAAGGATACCCGCGGTGGTGTAAGAGCCAGACGGAGTTTAAAACCTTCAAAAGTTAAGCAGCAGCAGCAGAAGCAAGAAGAGGCCTCCGTGAAAAGCCCTTCCTCTGTGAAGGTAGTAGAGAATGACGAGAATGCTGATGATTCCATGGTGCGTAACGTCGGTCTACCTAATAAAATGGATAGTTCGAAGCCTCCGAAGCTGGAATCAAAGTGCAATTGCACAATAATGTGAAGAAGGAAGGAATGAAGGTCTCCCTACGGTTTGTTGTATGCTGATTAGAGATGCCTCTTCTTTCTTATTAGGGTGGCTTGAAATGAAAGATTGCCAATTGATTTTCCAAATTCATTTGTAAGAAAAAGAAAAAAAAAAGGCACAAATCTGATGCGTTGTTGGGTAACATAAGCTGTAAAGTTTCTTCTATTTGTTGCTAGGTTGATTGTTGGCAGGATGAGAAAAAGAAAAGAAGGCAGTTGCCGCTTGTGGAGTTGTGGTTTGCTATAGCTTGTGACTTGGGTATATAGCTTCACTTGATGAGTGTAATGATTCTGAGAAGTTTTTGGTCGTGTGTTCCTCTTTCTCCTATTCCAAATCTCCGCTGTTAGAAACAAGGTTTCTAACAGTTGTAGAATTGGGGAATTAGCTAGACCAACTAGGGATTGATCAAGCTAGGGATTAGAATTAGGGAATTTAGGAAGAAGAAAGGGGAAGGATGGCTGCCGATCGGCCAAAGAGAGAGGGAAAGAGAGAGGAAGTTCGGCGCTAGGGAGAGAGAGAGAGAGATTAGGATTTAGGTTTTCTGTAATTGATTGCTTAATGACAAAATAACTCCTACTGCAGATTATATAATCCGCAAAATACCTAACTGCTACCCATATAACGAAAATACCCCAAATGGTCCCCCAATTATCAAAACCGACAATAATACGAAATAATGAAAAGCTGTAAAGTGTTTGTTTCTAACATCCCCGCCTCCTTGGGAAACAACCTTGTCCTCAAGGTTGCGGCTTCTCTTGCTCTGCTCCGGGTTCCTCCACCATCTCATCCTCCGCCTCGTCTTCCCATCGTCTCACCAAGAACATCAAATCAGGCTTCCCGCACTTGTGACCAAAGGTAAACCGCTCGTCACAGTTGAAACACTTCCCTTCCCGCCTCTTCTGCTCGATCTCGGCCGGAGATAGCGTCCTAAATCCCTTGGGTGGTGGCCTCGGTCCCGTTCGAATGACAGCCGCAGGTGGGCCAGCCGCCGCACCCCCTCCCGAACTAGGCCCCGATGCAGCTCCACTCGTTCCCCCACTCGCGCTGCTACCACCGCCTCCTCCTCCGGCCGGCTTCTGGTAGCGGCCTATCACGCCCCGCCAACTAGCCAGCTCCTCCTCCTTATTACCTGCAAGACGGAAAACAGCTCGAAGTGAATCGGGCTCAAATACCCGCACAGCCGCTGCGATCTCTGGCCGGAGTCCCGCCATGCACAGACCCACCAATGTCTCCTCCGGTACGCCCTTGCACTGGTTACCCAGTTTAAAGAACTCTGCTCGATACTCCGCCACTGTCCCAGTCTGGCGCAGCTTCGCCAGCTGCTCCGGGGCCCACCCTTCCGACTTGCCAAACTGATACCTCAGCTCCTCCTTGAACATCGGCCAGGTAATCAGCGTTCGAGCTTCAGCATAGGTCCGCTCCATCCATTCCCACCACTGCAATGCATCCCCCTCTAAATAGAAGGACGCCAACTGAGCCTTCCGTTCCTCTCTAGTGGGATGGTTCTTGAACCACCGTTCTGCGGAGTATAGCCACAGACCTGCATCCTCCCTGCCGTTGAATTTTGGAAACTCAATGGTTGGGGGCTTAGCTCGAAACACCATGTCATCTTCCTCCTCACCACCTCGGGAGTAACCAGCGTGCCTCCCATACCCCGGCGCCTCGCGGTGATAGTGCTGCGAGTACCGGTGCCCCCCTTCATACTCCCACTCTCCTTCCTCCTCCTCTTGATGTCCCCGTCCTCGGCCCATCTCATTTCTCTGCCTCTGATCACCAGTTCCTGATCCCATGAATTCCCTACCAGTGCCGTGCTGATTCACAAACGGCGGTTGATTGCCTCTAGGCTCGTCAAACTGACCTTGGCGAGCCGGAAAGCCCCTGCTGCCCGTTCCCCCTTGGCGCGCCAGCTGCTGCCCTGGTTCGGTCCGACCGGGTTCGGTCCGACCGGGTTCGGCCCGACCGCTTGGGCCCCTGCTCGACCCCGCCCGGCCCGCATACTCGGCCCGGCCCGCGGGTCCCCGGCCCATGGAGCTCGGCCGACCCACCTCCCAGCCGCGGTCCGCTTCTCGCCGCTTCCCACCTGGCCCGCCTTCCGTCCCAGCTCGGCCCATATGGCTTCCTTCATCCCTATTATAATCCTCCCCGGGCCCATTCGGCTCATTGGGCCACGGCTCATGATCATACTCCTGCTCCAAGCCCATCAACTCTTCTTCATCCAAGCCCACGTACTCTGCCATCTTGGCCTTGCCCCGCGCGCGCCTTCTCCTGGGCCGAGGGGGTCGGAAGCAGCCCATCTTTGATTGTTGGGCCAAAGGAGACCTGGCCCGCACGCAACCCCAGCCGGTTAGGGTTGGCCGCCGCGCCGCCCTTCTCACCCCGCCCCTCCGCCGCCGTGTTCGCCGAGGCCCGCGCGGCGCCGTGGTCGCCGGCCGCCTCCACCGAAATCGACCCCTCCCCTGGCGCGCCGTCCTCCCCGTGCAACTGGCCGCCGCCGCCAGCTTCGATCCCTGATTTCTTCAGGGCCGCCACCAAGTCACCCACCTGTCCCGCCAGTGCCTTCACAGCTCCTGTCAGAGCATCAAGGGTTTGGCCTTGCTCCCTAGCCCTCTCCTGCAGTTCTCCCAACTCTTCCTCCACCCGCGCCTGTCTCCTCGCCTGCGCCTCCAGATCCCTCCTCAACTCCTCATTGCCGGTCAGATCCTCCACAGCCCCATCGACCCCGTCGTCACCTGCATCGGCGCCCTTGTCACCTGCCTGATTCGCCTTCTCCGCTTTCTCTGCTGCCTTCATGGATTTCGTCGTTACCATCGTTGGTTCTCCGGTTTCTAAGCTGTCCCTGACGGAGTTGGGAAGAACTCTCCGATCGGAACCAGGCTCTGATACCAGATGTTAGAAACAAGGTTTCTAACAGTTGTAGAATTGGGGAATTAGCTAGACCAACTAGGGATTGATCAAGCTAGGGATTAGAATTAGGGAATTTAGGAAGAAGAAAGGGGAAGGATGGCTGCCGATCGGCCAAAGAGAGAGGGAAAGAGAGAGGAAGTTCGGCGCTAGGGAGAGAGAGAGAGAGATTAGGATTTAGGTTTTCTGTAACTGATTGCTTAATGACAAAATAACTCCTACTGCAGATTATATAATCCGCAAAATACCTAACTGCTACCCATATAACGAAAATACCCCAAATGGTCCCCCAATTATCAAAACCGACAATAATACGAAATAATGAAAAGCTGTAAAGTGTTTGTTTCTAACATCCGCACAACCATCGTTTGATCTCTATCAATTCAACCGTTCATGACTTCTTGCTATAAATCCCTACTTCTGTCTTCCTGCTTAACATTAATCAAGTGAATTAAACATTTAAGAACACTACTTCTATCTTCCTCCTTAAAATTAATTAAGTGGATTAAACATATTTAAGAACAGAGTAAATAAGGAGAGTTGGACGACAATACGAGAAACACCAAAAAGATGGGAAAAAGAATTAAAATTAATTAAGTGTATTAAATATATTTAAAACACCGTAAATAAGGAGAGGTTGGACGACAATACGAAAAACATAAAATTAATTAAGTGTATTAAATATATTTAAAACACCATAAATAAGGAGAGGTTGGACGACAATACGAAAAACACTAGGCCATCGTTTGGTCTCTATCAATCCAGTCGTTCATGATTTTTTGCTACAAATCGCTACTTCTGACTTCCTGCTTAAAATTAATTAAGCGGATTAAACATATTTAAGAACATAGTAAATAAGGAGAGTTGGACGACAATACGAGAAACACCAAAAAGATGGAAAAAAAAGAATTAAAATTAATTAAACACGATAAATAAGGAGAGTTGGACGACAACCCAAAAAACACCGGGAAGATGGAAAAAAAAATTTGGACCATTTCTCGATTTATGCGTGTCATCCTTGCGCAGGGGCCATGCTAATCTTCTCTGTATCGTTCCAATTTTATCGGATGTCCCCGAAGGGACGGTGATATTAGTTTGACGAGGAGTTATAAAGTCGGAACATCTAGTCAAGACAAACGATGTGGTAGGCATCTATATGTCTATCTATGACCCTACCCTATTCTACGATCCGTCCCTCCTAGAAATGTTGGCGGGAAAGTCTGTAGAGTGAAAACTCGGTCGCTGCTACTTTCCCTCCCAAATTTCTCCCCCGCCGCCGTCACCTGATGGAATCCGATTCAGACTCCGGCGGCTCTCACGTCTCAGCTACTCCTCCCAGAAACTCCAAACCGCCGCCGAAGCATTTTCGTCCCGCTCCTCCTCCTCCGCTTCCCCTGCGGCAACCTCCACGCGCCGGAAGCAAAACCAGAAACAAAACCCCAACTTCCTCCTCCGCCGCCGCCGCTTCTCGCTCTAATAACCCCCTAGAACAGCCGCCTCTCGACCGGAAAAACGACGACGACGCTCCGGCGGTCTATTCAGCACCTCTCTCGAACCTGCCGTTTCAGATCTGCTATCAAAACCGACCGATTTCATCCTCCTCGTCTTCCCATTCAATCGAAGCTCTCCCCGCCGGCTATTTCTCCAAATCTGCTTCCTTCTCCAAAATCAGAAGAACCTCCCTCAATTTCGAATCGCTCGACGAGTCTTGTCCCCCGCCGCCGCCGCCGCCTGATTCTTCCACGGCGGTTCCAGCCCCGAAACCTAACAACAACAACAACATCAGGAAGAATATCAACCTGATTCGAGCGGAAGCGTCGCCGCCACCAGTCAAATTGCGGAAGTGCAGCGGTGGCAGCGAAGGCAACTTCGTGAAGCTCAACACGAACTACAAGAACAAGTTCCTCAACAGGAAAGGGATGCGGAAGAGCAGTAGTAGTTACGCGTCGAACAACCGGCGACTTTACCGACGGAGCAAGCGGAAGCTGAAGGCGGACAGCGAAGCAGCCGAAGCGGGTGGGTCGCTCTGCGACGAGGAAGGTTTGGTGACGGAGATCACCCAACAGAAGGCGGAGAATGGCGGCGAGTTGATTGAGGAAGCGGTTTCGGCTGCGAGAGGAGAGCCATCCGATGAGAATTTGGTGAGGTTGTTGAGTTTGATGTATGGTTATAGTTCTTTTAGGAATGGGCAGCTTGAAGCAATTAGAATGGTGCTCGATGGCAAATCAGCAATGCTAGTTTTGCCCACCGGCGCCGGGAAATCTCTCTGTTATCAGATCCCGGCAGTGATTCTGCCAGGAATCACTCTGGTGGTGAGCCCGTTAGTTGCGTTGATGATCGATCAGCTTAAACAGTTGCCTGCTGCCATTCAAGGTGGCCTTTTCTGTAGCAGTCAGGTAAGTTTTCTTTCTTTT